GTCATGGGGCCTGAACTCTGGGCCTGGGTGCTATCCTGCATCTCTTCAGCTCAAGGCTAGCGCTCTACCACTTGAGCCACAGTGCCACTTTGGCTTTTTTCTTTTTGCTTATGTGGTGCTGAGGAATCGAACCCAGGGCCTCAGGTATGCAAGGCAAGCATTCTACCACTGAGCCACCTTCCCAGCCCTCTGTGAGAGTCTTATCTCCAATAAACCACCAGGAAACCAGAATTGGCACTATGGCTCAAGTGGTAGAGCGCTCACCTTGAGCTGAAGAGCACAGGGACAGTGCCAAGGGCCAGAGTTCAAGCCCCACAACCAAAAAAAAAAAATCTTACTAAAATTTTTTTGTACTAGGACTGGTACTTGGATTTGGGGCATGAACACTATTTCTTAGCTTTTTCATTCAAGGCTGATGCTCTTCCGTTTGAGCCACCGTTCTACTTCTAGCTTTTGCTGCTTAATTAGAGATAATTCTCTCATGGACTTTCCTGCCCAGACTGGCTTCAAACTGCAATTCTCAGATCTTAGCCTCTTGAGTAGCTAGGATTATAGGTATAAGCCACTGGCACCCAGCTCCTACTAAGTTTTGGATTCTACTATAAAATAGAGAAAATTATACTATGCTATTATTATTAGTTACATGTAATAAATGCACATAAAGCATTGAACAGAAAATTAGTGAGCAATGTATAGTGGGGTCCTAATGGGATAAAGAAAGAGCATTCTAGGTAGGGATTGGTAGGTGACAAGGCTAAGCATGACTGCAACATGTGAAAGGTCTAAGAATTGTGGGACCTGGGAAGGGGGTGTTGAGATAACACGTAGAAAATTCAACAATAATGAAGCCCTATCCCTGATGGAGTTCTAGTAGACCATGGGCCCATGAGAAGATTCTTAGGCTCTGTAGTTGCAGAAATTTAGGAAAGTTTTCTGCAGAGTGAATGAAGCCTAGGACTTGACCTCATGAGCCATTTGGTTGCCTACATGGGGACATTTGCTCTCTCACACTAGCCAGCTACTAGCTCATGTCTTTCTGCACTGCTAGCAGGAAACCACCTGAAGCCTTTACATCCTTATACTGTTTACAGGGGAACCCTGCCTGTCACCCCCACCCCCCTCAGTCCTAACTTTATTAATTTATTAATTAATTTATTTTTCCCAGCTTTATTTTATATCTCTTCTTTGTGTATCATGTCAAGATGAATTCACAGGTGTAGACTAGGGATTTATATCTGCTTTCTTATAATTGGTAGTGTAAACAAATAAGAAGACAATGAATCAAGCTGCAGTGGCTCTCACCTGTAATCCTAGCTACTTGGGATCTAGCTACTAGCTACTGAGGATTGCAGCTCAAAGCCTGCCCAGGCAGGAAAGTTTGTGAGACTCTTATCTCTAATTAATCACCAAAAAGCTGGAAGTGGAGCTGTGGCTCAAGAGGTAGCATGCTAACCTTGAGTAGAAAGATCAAAGGGGAAGTGTGTTCAGGCCCTGAGTTCAAGCACCAGTACTAGCATGTGAGCTGGTACACACACACACACACACACACACACACACACACACACACACGGATATAAAAATGTATTGGTACATTTCTTACAGACTCATGTTTACCCCCTCTTTTTTTGGGGGGGGGTCCGGTCGTGGGGCTTCAACTCTGGGCCTGGGCACTGTCCCTCAGCTCTTCAGCTCAAGGCTAGCGCTCTACCACTTGAGCCACAGCACCACTTCTGGCTTTTTTCTTTTTGCTTATGTGGTGCTGAGGAATCGAACCCAGGGCCTCAGGCATGCAAGGCAAGTGCTCTACCACTGAGCCACCTTCCCAGCCCCTACCCCCTTTTTTATTGAACTTATTTCAAAGTAGTGGAGTATAGATACTTACATTTCTTTGTTGTACTTTTTTTTTTTGGGTCCGGTCGTGGGGCCTGAACTCTGGGCCTGGGCGCTGTCCCTCAGCTCTTCAGCTAAAGGCTAGCGCTCTACCACTTGAGCCACAGCACCACTTCCGGCTTTTTTTCTTTTTGCTTATGTGGTGCTGAGGAATTGAACCCAGAGCCTCAGGCATGCAAGGCAAGTGCTCTACCACTGAGCCACCTTCCCGGCCCTCTTTGTTGTACTTTTTGTGGTTTAAAATTTTGTAGGTTTTCATTTAAGAAACTATTTGACAATATCTAAAAAAGTAAAAGATTAATGATAGCCAAGGAACCAGAGGCTCAGAGAGGAAAGAGACCTAAGGAGGGTGTAAATCAAATAGAATACATACTTAAAACCAGCAGTATCTTAGAAACCAGGAAATATGGTCGTTTGTTTTGTACCCTGTTGAAATTCCGGTTTGAGGTTTGACATTGGGGCTGCCAAAGCTGTTATCAGGCATCATGAGAACAACTCTTGAGTGTTCCTCTGTGTATCTGCAGATGGGAAACTGGGTGTCTCTGGGGCCCTGCAGGTCGATTTTACCAAAAAAAATCAGGCCCCAGGCTCGATGTATGAAACAGGCATGGATTTAATCAGGTGAGGATTCTTTCTGGAAACTGCCAATCTCAGCTGAAAGCCTCATCCTCCCTGAGCCTCAGTTACCTCATCTTCACAATATGGCAGGTGGGGTGAGGGGTAAGCATTATATCAGGCGTTATCAGATCATAACTGCCAAAGCTTCCTGTTGATGCTTGTGGGCACCCGATCCTTTAGTGAACAAAAAGATTCACCCCTGACTTGTTGCACAACCGAGTGCATTGTGGGTGGTGGAAGTCACCGTGGTGGGGGAGGGGCTTGGTTTCTATTTGTGGGTGTTTAGGGGTTGCCTGAACAGGCATGTCCCTTTGTAAATTACCTGAAGTCTTGGGCCCTGCTTTTCTCTTAACAAGAAGAAAAAGGAGCTGGGCACCAAGCACCTGTGGCTCTCGCCTATAATCCTAGCTACTTAGGAGGCTGAGATCTGAGGATTACAAGGTTCAAAGCCAGCCTAGGCAGGAAAGTCCATGAGACTCTTATCACCAATAAACCATTCAGAAAACCGGAAGTGGCGCTGTGGCTCAAGTGGTAGAGTGCTCGCCATGAGCTGAGGGACAGCGCCCATGCCCAGAATTCAAGCCCCACAACTGACAAAAAAGAAAGAAAAAAAGATGTGTCTTTGCTCTCTTTAGATGGAAAGAAGGCAGCAGTATGAGGGAGGAGGTTGTCAGTGTGTTGAGGTCTTTTTTTTGTCCCTGCTACAATTCTTCTATTGCTGTTTAGCTCTGAGGCAACTGTCAGGCCTAGGAAGTTCCCAGATAAACCACACTGAAAAAGAGGATCTGCCCTTTTGCGTCCCAAAGGCCTCGGTCCTGCCAGGATCCCTCCCTCTGCTCTTCCAACCAGTAGAAGCCAGAGCTGCACATTTCCTTCCGGCACAGAGAGAATCAGAAACTCCAGGCCTGGGCCAGGCTCCAGCTCCACCTAGTCCTGTTACACAGAACTCCTGACAGCTGCCTCAAAGTGCCTTCCACCCCATGCCTCTTTCTAGAAAGCCCGTTAGGGCCAGTTCTGGGCTAGGAACACCTGGAATTGAGATCTAAGTTTTCTACTCATTTCCTGGTTGGCTTTGAGCAAGACACCTTCCCTGGCTATCTTAACCTCCCCTAACTGCTGTTTCAAGTCATTAATCTTTTATTTTTCTCAGTACTGTCAAGTACTTTATTTTTCTGTATGTGCTGGTATTGGTGCTTGAACTCAGGGTCTTAGGCTCTCTCACTTGGCTTTGTTGCTCAGAACTGACTCTTTTTTTTTTCTGTCTCACGGACTTTGTTGCCCAGGCTGGCTTTGAACAGTAATCCTCAGATCTCAGCTTCGTGAATAGCTAGGATTACAGGTGTGAGCCACCAGCATCCAGCTCAAGACTGACTCTTTACACTTTAGCCACACCTCCACTTCCTCAAGTTCTTTCTTTTTCGTTTAAGGCCAGTGCTCTACCTTTTGAGCCACAGCTCTACTTCTGGCTTTTTAGTGGTTCATTGAAGATGAGATTCACAGACTTTCCTGCCTGGACTGACTTTGAACCTTGATCAGGTCTCTGCCTCTTGAGTATTTATGATTACAGGTGTATTCTTACTTGTTTTGTAAGAAGTAATGTTTGAATATGTAGGCTGTAAGATTTAGTCTCCTTTTTCTGATTGCTCCTCAGAGGTCTTTGAACTTGAATTCCCAGTTTTACTCCTTAGAGTAAGCCTACTCAGCTGATGTACCCTCTGACTAGCCACCCTAGAGACTGTCACCCTAGACCACCTCTGTCTGCTTTAGTGCTGACCTGCCTGCCTGCCTCAGTGCCACCAGAACAACTCCATGAAGCTCAGGAGTTGTAATCACGTGGGCATAGCCTTGCAGCCTTCTCTGGGCTGACACTGCTGTGCAGGCTGCTCAGTCAGTAGTTGTACAAATATAAGCAGTGGTGATGGAAAGGGTTTTGAAATGTGTTACGACTTTCATAGGTGGAAACAACTCAAAGAACATTTTGGCGAAAGGACTGGCATGAGTAAAGGTTGAAGGGGGTGGAAAAGGCCAGGATGTAATTGAAGGAAACTCTGAGTAACTAGTTTGGCTCATATGCAGAGGTGAGCTGTTACTTTGTACTTGTTTGGCTAGTTTTTGTATTCAGCTCAGCTCATAGCATGCAAGCCCTCTGAACAGGCTTATTTATTTACCAAGGCAGGCCCGACAGGAATGCTTGACTGGGCGCAGACACACACACACACACACACACACACGCACGCACGCACACACACACACACACACACACACACAGAGCCTCTGCCCCAGAGAGGCATGGTGTTGGATCTGATGTCTCTCTGGCCTGTGCCTTCCAGAGAGGGCTAGCATTCCATCCCATCTGTAATGAAGCATCATGAACTAGCCGTCCTGAGGGAAGTAAAGTCCAGAAGAGGATGCGAGACTGGCTAGGCTGGGAGCTGAAGCCAGGGCCTTTGCTTCTCTTGGCATGTGTGATGATTCTGCCCTTGACTCCACAGGCTGGAGGAAGTCCCACTGGAGGTGCTGAGACAGAGGGAGTCCAAATGGCTGGATATGCTCAACAACTGGGACAAATGGATGGCCAAGAAGCATAAAAAGGTGAGAGGCGTGGCCTCAGGTTGTGGGCTGGGACTTGGCAGCTTGGGGATGGGGAGGAAGATGGAGGTACTTCATGAGCTCAGGTGAGCAGGGGCTTCTCCATCTGCCAGAATGCCTTAGGTGGCCCTTATGGGCCAAATGGGAACAGAAGCTGATCAAAGGCAGAGGGTAGGTTGGGCCCTGGCAGGTGACTTCAGAGTCACATTGAACTTTGCGCTGGAGTTAAACTTTGAAACTACCCTTAGCCAGTAGCCCTGCTAATAGCTGCTTTTGCTCCAATCCAGCTGGGAGAAGTCCAAAGTACTTGCAGTCCATTAGGGAAGACTTGCTACTACTGACAGCTAACCTGTGGGGAGCATTTTGTAGGGTGCTTGGCCTACAAGTTAAGGTGCTTCACTGGATGATGTGAATAGTAGTGGCACCATCACATTTTTGTTTGTTTTGGTCTGAACAAAAGCCTCTCACACTCAGCCTCAATTTCTCTGGCCAAGTAGGAGGGATAAACCTGTTTCAGGGCTCCACTGGGTAGCAACTGTGTTTTTGTAGACTACCATGGGGGACAGGTTTAAATTCAGAGCCTGTGCTTGAGGCAGATGGTCTTAAGCCAAGCCCCCAGGCCAGTACTAAGGCTTGAACTCATGTTCTTATTAGCTTGTTTTGCTCAAGACTTGAGCCACACCTCTACTTCTGGCTTTTTGCTGGAGTTAGAGATAAGAGTTTTTTGGGCAGGGCACTGGTGGCTCACACCTGTAATCCTAGCTATTTGGGAGATTTAAGAGCTGAGGATCGGGGCTGGGAAAGTGGCTCAGTGGTAGAGCGCTTGCCTTGCATGCATGAGGCCCTGGGTTTGATTCCTCAGCACCACATAAGCAAAAAGACAAAAGCCGGAAGTGGCACTGTGGCTCAAGTAGTAGAGTGCCTTGAGCTGAAGAGCTGAGGGACAGCGCCTAGGCCCAGAGTTCAGGCCCCAGGACCGGACCCCCCCCCAAAAAAAACGGATTTTATGTACCCTGGCTAGCTTTGAACTACAATTCTTAGCTCTCAGGATTAGCTAGGATTACAGGCGTGAGCTACCAGCACCACGTCTTTTGTGCTTTTAGTTATTTTTCAGATAGCATCTCATTGCTCAGGGCCAGCACCATACCAAAACCCTCCTACCTATAACCCCTACATAGCTAGGATGACAGATGTGTACCACTATTATGAGCTTATGAAGATAAGATCCTGCTTGCTAACCTTTTGCCCAGACTGGCCTTGAACTGTGATCCTCCTGATCTTTCCCTCCCAAGTAACAAGTTATAGGCATGAACCACTGCACCCATCTCTCATAAAAAAATAGTTATATATGTATATAAATATTACACAGGGCTGGGAAGGTGGCTCAGTGGTAGAGCGCTTGCCTTGCATGCCTGAGGCCCTGGGTTCGATTCCTCAGCACAACATAAGCAAAAAGAAAAAACTGGAAGTGGTGCTGTGGCTCAAATGGTAGAGCTCTAGCCTTGAGCTGAAGAACTGAGGGATAGCGCCCAGGCCCAGAGTTCAGGCTTCATGACCGGACCCCCCCCAAAAAATATATTACACACACATACACACACACAAACACATTTTATTTGTTTGTTTGTTTGTTTATTTATTTATTCATTTATTGTCGGTTGTGGGGCTTGAACTCTGGGCTTGAACTCTTGTGCTCTCCAGCTCAAGATAAGTGCTCTACCGCTTGAGCCACAGCGCCACTTCTGGTTTTCTAGTGGTTTACTGGAAATAAGAGTCTCATGGACTTTCCTGCCTGGGCTGGCTTTGAACTGTAATCCTCAGATCTCAACCTCCTGAGTAGCTAGGATTACAGTGTGAGCCACCAGCGCCAGGCTATATTTATATTTAAGGCAGTATTTTTTTAACTGTTTTCTTACCTAACTTTGGGCCCCGACCGGTTTTCCTCAGGCTCTTACCTTGAGCTATAGCTTACCCTCCAGCCTTCTCTTGTGCTCTCTGATATCATCAGGGACTGGTGCTAGGCCTTTTTGTTCTTGCCTCCCTGACAAATGAGGATTCCTGAGGGCAGTTTTGAGGGGCTCCTCTCAGCAGACCAGTCAGCAGCACTTCCTCTTTGTTTCTATTGTTGAGTCCAAAGGCTGCCTCTGCCCAGCAGAGGCCTCCATAGTCAAGCTTCAACCTATCTCCTTCAGAGTGCAGATCTAGATAACCATCACCCCGGGGTGCCCCTCCTGCTGCCTCAGCTACAGCCCCCCCCCCAGGCCCTGCCCTGGGGGCCTTTCCTGCCTGGCCATGGGGGTTTCCGTCTGCTCTGGAACTCATGGCACAGGAAGTACAGTACCTGTTTTAGAGGTGGGCTCAGACCCAGTACTTCTCTGGGACTCATCCTTAGTCCTGCTGGGAGGGTATCTTCCTCCCTGCTACCAGCTTGTGTCTAGGATAGACATCTGGGTCTGGAGAAAAGCGGGATAGTAGTTTTTCTCCCCTTGTTCAGCCCTGTCCTAGCCCCCTCTGGTGGGGGGCCTGCCCTCCCAGAGTTTAGCAGGCAAAGGTGTAGCTTTGGTCAGCTATCATTAGTGGCTTCCTTTTTCAGGGTGTTGCGTTAGAGATTGGTAATGCCTTGTGCTTTCTGGGAGCACTTTGTCATAAGTTATCCTAACCTTCCCCAGGCAGGCAGGCGGGCGGGCATGACCATCTCCAGCACTATTGGGCTGAGATGAAGGCCTGCTAGGAAATGTGGCCTGTGTTTCCATCTCTCCACCTCCAACCCCCAGCCCAGGCCTGCCTGTGGGTACAGCCACTTGGGGCACCTTGATGGCCTGGGAGCATTTCATGGCTCCTCTGGAGTCTTCTGCCTGTGACAGGAGGCTGTGATGACCAGGCTGCCCTGTGCTGAATGAACTTGCTCAGTGTGTATAATGGAGGGCCTGTGGTGAGGGGCTGTCCCATGTTCCATGGCTAAAGCCTGTCTAAACTGGTTTCCTTAGGGTGACCCATGTCCCACTGTAGCAGGAAGCTGTTTCCACAATCCAGAACAGTTCCCTGGACTCCCTTCTCTCCTCTTTTCCCAGGCCGTCCCAGAAGCTCTCACTTGGCTCTTCCCACTGCCCACAGCCTTGCCTGCCTGTCTCCTTCCTGGTTCTTGACTCTCTCTGACCCTTGGAAAGTTTTCCCTTGTTTTCAATGGTCATCAGGAAAGCCAGGACCTCTGCGCTCTTCTTCTGAGTGCTGCTTGTAGAGTTGTGAGAGGGGCTTTCCAGGTGAGGGGGGAGGGGAACTGAAGCTCTAGGGCCTCTGGGATGAGGGAGGGGAGGAAGCCTTTACTTACTCAACATAGACTCCATCAGGCCCCTCACTGAGCAGGTTTTCCCCTGTCTAATGGAATCCTAGTAGTAGCTAACATTCTGATTTGAAGCTAATGAGAACTGATGGGGCTGAGATCAGAGAATTCAGCCCACATCAGCTATTCTTCTTATGACCTAAGCACCCCACTTCATCCCAAGCCACGCAACTTAATGCAGGGGGAGGCAGTGCCATTGGCCCCTATGCACTCTCTACTAGCATCCTGCAAGCTGCAGGCCTCTGCCTTTGCCATTCCTCACCTACTAGGTCAGAGCTGCTGCCTTTAGAACTTCATTCTGGCTCAAGACCAGGGGGAGCCTACTTCCCCCATCGATCTCTTGAGAACCAGGGCTGGATTCTACCAGCCTTGTAGTGCAGCCTGGGAGAGACAGGGTTTCTGGCTGTGTGACCTTAGTCATTCTCTACTCTAGGGGAAATTTTCAGTTGTCCCATTTTTAAAAGGCATGGTAGATTTTCAAAGTGGATTTTAACAGCTATCTGAAATAGGCAGTAGCCACCCAGGCAGCTAGCCCGATTGGTCATAGCTGCCTCCAGATGTCAGCCTCTTGAGTAGCTATGATTACAGATGTAAGCCACTATTCCTACAAGGGTTTATTCACAGTGCCTCCCAGAACCAATCTGTTAGATACTGAGGGATGGATGACTGCGGCAGTCCTCAGGAATGCCTGTATTGTCACTGGCCCAGGGGGACATGCCCTCTGACCTCACCCGCTGGCATCATGACTCACTGCAGTCCTCTGCCCCACCATAGGAGATGTGTCGGAGCAACCATAAGAAAGTCTTCTGTTCTCTCCCTCTCTGTTCTTGACTTTGTTCACTGAAGGCCCACCAAGCCAGAGCAGAGGGGCCTGGCCAGAGGTGCTACCAGAGTGAATGCATGTGCTCAGCTGTTCTTTTGGCTTTCAGATCCGTCTGCGATGTCAGAAGGGCATCCCGCCTTCTCTGAGGGGCCGGGCTTGGCAGTACCTGTCAGGAGGCAAGGTGAAGCTACAGCAGAATCCTGGGAAATTTGAGGTGAGTTTCCTGCCCTCTCCCCACCAATCCTGACAAGTCTATGGGCTTTATCTGTTTCCATGGGAGCGACTCCCCCACCCCCATCATCCTGGGCCTTGACAAGGTAGGAAGTAGATGGAACTTTGGGTCCCATGCCCCACTACCCAGCAGGCCAGATTGGCCAAGCCCTGAGGACCTGTGACTCCTGAGGCCTCTCTCTTCTGAGGCTCCAGCCTGAGCAGCACTTAAGGAATGGACACATCTGCCACTCCTCATTCGAGCTTTTTTTCACTCAACAACCAAGTGGTTTGCTTTCTCAGGCAAACTCAGTTCTTGGTGATCAGGAGGGAGTCTTCAGATCATGTCCCTGAATGTCTTAGGTCGATTTTTTTTCTCTCTCCAGTACTGGGGCTTGAACTGTGGGTTTGGGCACTATCCCTGAGCTCCTTTTTTTTTTTTTTTTTGTTGGACATGGGGATTGAACTCTGGGCTTGGGTGCTGTCCCTGAGCTTTTTGGCTCAAGGCAAGCACTGTACCACTGGATCCATAGCACCACTTCCAGTTTTCTGGTGGTTTATTGGAGATAAGAGTCTCATAGACATTCCTGCCCAGGCTGGCTTTGAACTGTGATCCTCCGATCTCAGTCTCTTGAGTAGCTAGGATTACTGGTGCCCGGCCCTCAGCTCCTTTTGCTCAAGGTAGGCATTCTACCACTTGAGCCACAGCTCCACTTTTGGCTTTTTTTGTGATTAATTGGAGATAAGAGCCTCATGGACTTTCCTTCTCCTGGCTGACTTTGAACCACGGTCCTTAGATCTCAGTTTCTTGAGTATCTAGGATTACAGGAGAAAGGCCACCAGTGCCCATCTGTCTTGAGTCTGTGTACTGGGTCTTTAGTGGCTTACCCAGCAGGGGCACCCAAGATCTTTCATACAACCTGGTTTCTTACCTTCTGCTCTGCCACCTGCCTCCACATTTGGTCAGACCCATCCACTTGAATTGCTTGACAGTCCATCAGTCCATCAGCACTGGGGTGGCAGAATCCAACCACTGTGCCCTCTGTCCACCCTCTGCTGCTTCAGCCCCATGGACTGGCCAGGATGCAAGATTTCCATTCACTGAGCTGGGCAGCTTCCCTGGCCTGCTCCCCTAGGAGGAACTCTGCAGAGTCAGTGGTATCCCCAGAGTTTCCCTGGTTTACCTGCCAGTTCTAGCCCCAGGCATCAGGGTTTGTCCCGAGCTCTTAGGACAGATGAAAGGCGGTGAGTGGAACTGCCAGCCCCCAGCTCTTTGTGGATGTCCTCACACTTCCGTGAATGCTCCTATCTGACCAGACCTGTTCTCTGAGAAGGTAGGCAGGACAGAGCAGCAGCCTGGTGTTTCTGCTGGTAGAGAGTGGTGAGAGCTATTTGCTGGCAGTACTTGGTCCGGGAGGAAAGGGTCTGGTGAGACATCTAGCTGGGGAAACCTGGAACCAGTGCGATTGGACATTCCACCCCTTCACTCCAGAGGCTTCCTCCCAGTGGGTCTATCTCCTGCCTCCTGAATCAGGGGCAAAATGGGAGGCTCAGGGATGGAAGCCTACCCTGACCAGAGCCCAGGAGTGAGAACTGAGGAAATGGGCGCCTGGGCAGCCTCCTGGATACACTGGCCAGCAGGTGTGAGTGTGTCAGCAGCGTGTGCAGAAGAGCATGGAGCTCCGTGTGTGTGTGTGTGTGTGTGTGTGTGTGTAGTTGAAAGGCCTTCTAAGTATCCTAAGACTGAGCTGAGGGCCCCTACAGCAGTCCTGGGAAACCCTAAGAGTGTTTAGGAATATACCTGGAAGGACTTGGCCTGTGGATGATCCAGAGGAAAGCAAACGGAGATGAGAAGCTCTCTGCTACATCATGAGCATAAGCCGTAGCCTGGGCATGAGAGAACTGTAGTGGCAAAGCATACCTGGGTGTCAGGACCGCCTGTGTACAGGTAACCCAGGTGCCTGGCCATCTTTGCCAGGGCAAGTTCTGCAGCTCTGACCCTTCCATGCTTACCTGGCTTTACCTCATGTGATGGTACCAGCTCATCTGCCAGCAGTTTACACCTGCCTTTGGTGCCCAGAGACCTTTCTCCCTAGACACCCTGGAGAATCCCCCACCTTACCAGCCCACTGTGGTTGGATGCCTTGGGCTGCTGAGAGGCCAAATGAATACATCCTGGAAACAGATTTTTGAAGTCTTCGAGTCCCTGTATATCATATGAACTACCAGGAGAATCTGGGGGCCACTTCCTCTTCTGCGAAAAGCAAACCTGCATTGTATTCAGATAGTGCCTGGTATGCACAGGACACACACAGTTTTCATGGTGTTCCCATCCTTGACACCCATCCTCCCGCTCTGGACAGTCCAGCAATGTGTACTTGCTCAGTTTCTTGTACTTGCTCAGCTTCCCTGCTCAGCCTTTCTATTTCGTCTTCTTTTTTAATTGAGGTATGAGTCTATAGGCTAAAATGCCCAGATGTTGAATGTACAAATCAGTGAGCTTTGACAGCAAAATACACATCTGTGTAATCAACATGCAAATCAAAGTAGAGCAAATCAAAGTAGAGAATCTTGCAGCTGAGCAAGAAGCCATTTTTCTTTCTGTCTTAGCTTTGTTGTTTCTTTCTAAAGGAACACTTGCTTAAAAAAAAACAAGAAAGCCGGGCGCTGGTGGCTCACGCCTGTAATCCTAGCTACTCAGGAGGCTGGGATCTGAGGATCATGGTTCAAAGCCAGCCCGGGCAGGAGAGACCGTGAGACTCCTATCTCCAATAAACCACCAGAAAACCGGAAGTGGCGCTGTAGCTCAAGTGGTAGAG